AAATAAAAAAAGGAATTCTCACTGCAAAATTTTTCACTATACTTATTTATTTGCAATAGGCATAATGTCTAATAAAAAGCAAATATCGTCCCTACAGAAGAGGCAAGAGGTTACTGAAAATGTGTTTTTATTCGTGCCAAACATAATAGGTAATATGCCTTCTTGAATCTGTGGATTAAAGATCTTACGCGAACAAGGTTAATTTTTCGTGTATTTGACTTGCGAACGTAATTCAGGTTATAGTCGTGTAATTCTTGCCATACTGTCATTGTATTTAATGCCATCCAATCCATGGACATGTATGGGACTTTATATAGTTTCGTGTTTTTTAGACGCAGTGGACGGAAATGCTGCCAGATATTACAATCAATGTACGTATGTTTCATACATGACACTTATATCCTTAAGGCAGCATTTTAAATATTTTAGATTTATATAGGTAGCAAATTTGGTGCAGTTTTGGATATGGTTACAGATAGGTAGGCTTTTGTTTCTTTAATTTCTGAAATGAATTTTTTGGCATCTTTTCTTATTCGCAAATGATTTTACAGATCTACTACGAGCTGTCTACTATGTTTTCTAGCTTCTGCCTACAAACCGTGGGCTATGGTTTTCCAACTATTAATATCTTTGGATCTCAGTAGTCATTATATGCATATGTATAGGTAAGTTACGGCTTCTTAAAAAATCTAGAAAAACGCGTGCGAAAGCACTTATATTTTGTTTGTACACTTCTAGTTCTTTAACAGCTGGCGCCGCAAGTCACAAACAAATTTCTAAATCATCAAACCCCATTTTAAGAGCATACTACTCGAATAACGTTGGTGCCCTATTCTTTTTTTGATTCTTAATTAGTCTCGTATTAAGTTAATTTAAACAATATTGGCACATTTTCCATGCAGAAAGTTCTTTTCGCTTTTTGTGCATTTAATGAATTATTCTTCGTGGCGTTATACCTTTTATCATTTGAGAAGACATCTATCGGTGAGTTTTGTTCAGTCGTGCCTTTTCTCAATAGATTTCATATTTTAATATCTTCACGTTAAAAAAGGATCATGGAAGGATTTCTCCTTACTCCATCTACTCGCCTTAATTTCATTTCCAATTTGTGCTGGTAAACAAATAATAAATGTAATTCAGTTGATCAGCGCAAGTCAGAGTTTGGCCAAGGTTGATATTGAAGACCGCAAGAAAACAACCATGTAATTTGTATCGTCAGAAACAGAGAAAGTGGGTATTATATTGAATTGAAATCTTTTATTTTAATATCAAATAATTGAATGTAATAATAACTCTATCTCAAACATAAGCAAACATTTATCTTGTATTATATGTTAATATTAACTAAAACATTTAAAATAATTGTAGGCCTACTTTCCTGATCAAAGCAGAGATGAGTATCTTTTCAAAAAACAAGAATAATGAAATAATGAAAAGAATAACAAACCAATAGAACCTTTCCAAAAGGTGGCTGGATATAATTTACTGTTAAATTTTGAAATCGACGCGAGTAAACTTACCTTTAAAATTTATTGAACGCGTAATATAAAAAATCAATTTCAATGAATTTTAAGTACAGAAGGAAAACATCATAAATTGAATATTGGCAAGAATAAAATAGAATTCAACCGTTTCCAAGAAAACGCACGAAATTTTATGATTCACTTTTTTGCTTACAAGGTTATTATGTTAGTTCAGTTACTATGGGCGGCCGCGGACACCACGAACTCCACCACGGAAGCCTCTTCCTCTGCCTCCTCGAGCTGTATACAGAACAAACTTTAGATAACTGTATATTATTATCACATAATTACATCAAAGATACTAGACCTTGAGCTCTTGCAACTGTGGCCTTTCCTCTGCCCATTCCTATTCCTCTTCCTTTCATAGCGTTTGGTCCTATTTTTTTAAACATCGGTGCGTTCTTCAACATATCTGGCACAATGAAGAACCGAACGTGGGAACCTCTAATGTACACCTGATCTAATTGAGATATACGACCATCTCGTGCTGTCACCGTAATTTCTCTAAGTTGTACGTTCATATTGTCTTCGGCTTTTAAAAACATTTTTTCGAAAATAATAGATCTTAGTAAAGTAAAACAAGGAATAAAAGCAATATAATAACGAAATAATTTATTACCTTCTGATAATTTTCCTCTATAAACAGTACCATTGTTTAACTCTAGGGTTACAACGTGGCCTTGGGCCTCGTGAAGTAATTTGATTGGGACACCAATAGACATTTTTCGCAAATAGAGACGAACAAGAAAGGTCAGTTACGTAAGTCACGGGATACCTCCATATCACTGTGTGCAGATCTATGGTCACGTGTGAAATAACTGAATTAATAAATACAGTCCTGACCTAGTGATATTAGTTGGTAATCGAATAATTGCTTAGTTGATTAATTGATTTAAAATCAACCAATTATCGACTAAATTGATTAATTGATATAATTTTTATAATTAAAAACAATAAGATTTTTTTTGTTTTTTTTTGATATTATTGTTTTTTGTAAGATTAAGCTTTTGTTTTTTAATTAACAATAACACATACATAACAATTATAATATCTTAACAATTATTATGTCG